TGTCTTGTGTTTTACTAATGAAAAAAATGGAGGCGTCTCCAGTATAGGAGCAGTTTCCAGAGTCCTTGAGTTTATGAGGAGCTGGTCGTGCAGTTGTTCGGTGATCGACTGCAGCAAGACGTACATACTCGGAAAAGAGCTGAGAAAAAAAGTAGTCCGATCTGAAAAGGACTGTCAGAAGACAAATAAACAAGTCAGACAGAGGCTTGCTTAGAAGGTCAAAAAAAGGGTGGAGGCCTTGTGTTCAGCAGACACCCCTTTCATCCACTGCCTGGGCCCTAATGAGAGGAGCCGGCAGCAGTGATATCTGGATTTCCAGCAAACGGCTGCACTCTTCCTGCCCCTTTTTTATTTCCTCCATGGAAACAGAATTCTTTTCAAGTTTGTTTCATTTATAGTTTTTCCTCAATCATCATTTTGTGAATATCCTCACTGATAGGTGGAGGAATTTAACAGGCAAACCAATTTTTCCACAGTTTTTAGACATAATGTTACCCTTTTTTGTGTCAACACATATAAAACCAAAAGCCTTGGAAATAAACTTGAAGTCAGTTACCACTTATATATCTGTATGGCACTGGCTACTGCCAGTAGCTAGTGAGCATAGCATAGCACATGAATTGGAAATAAAAAGCTTGGCTTCGGGGATCACTAATTAACACGTTATTTTTGGGCTGTTTAATCCATACAAAAACTGAGGTGTAAAAACCACACTTTGTGGTGTTATAACATTTTTATGTGCCAAAAGTTACTGAACCCAGCCAGGAAATAGTTTGGCATATACCCCTAAAGAAAAAAACAAAGAATGTGGCTTTTTTTCTTGTGTTTTGTACAGGCTGTAGGCTTGGACGGGCCGACTGCTTCTGCATTTTTTGAGTCTTCAGAAAAACCACAAACTGTCTTTCATCTGAGTTGCTGAAGTGCTGTACAGTTGTGGGTCATTGTTATTAGTCCTCTGCACACTGGCGGTGGATTGATTTGCCGTTCTGTCCGCTGACCGGTTGCCAGCTGAAAGAATAGATCAACTGGCAACGCAGATAAAACTCACTTATTAAGTTGACATGATCCCTGTGAAAAATTCAATGGAACCAAAACCCATCAGCAAGGATGGTTTCAGGGAATAACTCAATACTTTAAAGGAGAGTATTAAGACTTGGTAAAGTTGATTCAGAGAAGAAGTCTGTGAGCTGTGAGGAGAAACTTAGGAAAGTGTTATTGATTTGGGGGAAAGTAGAGTTCAAACCTTCGGGGATAAATGTCTGTAGCTCTCTGACCATGATGGATGGTTTAGGGGTCTTGAACCCCTGTGATCCCTTGAGTGCAAATGAAAGTGCGATCAAAGACGGGATCTAACTTACTTGGATAGGCTTACAGTGACTCTATTCTTTAAAGGAATTTCTGAAAGATTTTATTGAAATGTGTCAGACAAATGTTACCTGTGAACACAGGCTGTTGTTTAATATGTACTGATCCAAAGCAGTGCAGGAAGAGCAGCCGTCTGTCACCTCCCACCTCTGCCCTCCCTGTGCAACAACTGTGAGCGATGAAGACACTTCAGATGCTGTCAGGGACTTTGAGGTTCAGATCCCTCTGGGAGAGGCTGCAATATAAGGTTTAGCAGCAGGGTCAGAGAAGGGTGAGTGGTGGGTGGCGGAGCGAGCCTTTCTGTGGCTGCTGAGGCGCAGAGAGCAAAGAGACGGCGTGGATGGTGAGAAGGACAAACAGGGGAAGAGAGGGAGAGTTAATCACACAGATCAGTATTGCATGCTCAGCCCTGCTGACCCCCCTGCACCTTCACCGACACCCTAAAGAAGCAGGATGTGTTGTTGGTTGTGCATAATTATAATTATAATGCTCACAATATTGGATTCAGTCATTCACTTGTCATTTCCACAACTAATACAGTACAGGTTTCATTCATAATAACCTCGACACTCACAGAGCCAGGGATGCATCTGCAGTTTGCCCAATGTTATCAGGAGATTTGAGGTGTGAGGCGTGCGCAACTGAGCTCAGCGAGTGTGCGACAAACAGGAGAATATTGCACAATAAGTCACCTTGCATAATAAGTAGATATCCGACAAAGCTGTATTCGCATGTACTCAGCAGATGTTTGTATGTTTGCATGCTAAACTAGTGTTGGACAATGACAAGCAGACTTTAAACAGATTCTACTTACCATTAAACCTAAACAGCCACATCAAACTATCTTTTAGTTGGCTGAGAAACCCAAGATACGATATCTCCACATGGTAGCGACTTGGTTACACCTTTAGCTCATGTCCTAAAGCACATCCTGCTTTATTAACTGTTTTACAATGACCAATGAAGTGATATGTTTACTGGAGTAATAAACAGAGTACAGTCATCATTTATAGACGGGGTTCCTTCCATCCCTTTCTCGTGCTGCATTGGTCGTACCTTAGATGAAAGCTATTCCTATTTATTGCCACTCATAATCATAATCATTTCGTCTGATTAAGGGGATTCGGTGAAATTAAAAGGGGTAGCACAGTTATTAATTTTGACCTATAATAAATGATTTTTTAACAAGTAATAAAAAAAGAAAAAAGTTGTTACATTTTTGAGGTCCTACCAACATCTCACTTATTCTGTGTATGGTCTCTGTTAATATTCTTAATGTGTCACAGCCCACATCTTTCATGCACTTAGACCTAAAACCCATTTCAGTCTGTCAAAGTTGAAGCTGTAGAGGTTTAATAACTGTAGGTCTTTGTTGAAAAAAGCAGCTGGCGGTAAAATGTCTGCATTCCCCCATCTGTGAATATAAGTATAAAAATACACAAAAGTGATGCTTTTCAGAATAAAACTTCAATCAGCTCTGTTAAACGTGTCCTTGGCACAGGCTTCGTTTTCTGCAGCATCAATGGAAACTACACTCAGATGTTTACATTAGAAATTTCTGTATTTATTGAATCTACCGCTCACTGAAAATGAAGTCTGCAGTCATTAATACGATATAGGGCCGATTCCTTCTCTATGACTGAACTGAAGTTCTGCGCTAAGTGTCCCACTCATTCACGTTGTTTTTACTGGCTTTGCATAATCCAGTAATGCCTTAGTATATTAGTCTTCATGAGAAGGCTTTATCTCTCTCTCAAATGCATACTGATGGCTGCATTATTAATGCATCAGCTTTTATCGATGAGTGCACATGGTTAATTGTTGATCAGATGACATCTGGTGCCCAACTGAGATCAGCGATGTGTCAGAGTCCCAGTTGGCACTTCTATTGGCCAGCTGCTCGGTTCTGTTAGAGCTGTGATTGGTTACATGTCACAGTGTAAAGGGCCCGAGGAAGCTTTTGTGGTCTGCAGGGCTTCAGTGTGTCTTCCTCACATCATATTATGCTCGCCCCCCCTCCGGTATGGATTCTTTCTGGAACATAAAAACAAAAATAAAAATCATATGTGTTTGTGTGCAGTACACCTGTACTTGGGCATTATAGACACAAGCCTTTCTGTTTTCTCCTCTTCGCTACTCACTGTCTTGTTTAATAGCAGTTAGGCCACACACACTGACAATCTGCAGCTATGCTCCGGAAGTGCTCTTTGCAAAGATAATATGTTTAATGAATGAGACTTTACCCTGTTTGGTCTGCTGTGCTAAACGTGACAGTGTCTGCTTTTGTGGGACGACACATGAGCCTGACAGAGTAACAGTAGCGATCCGTGTGTTTCGTGTCTATTTGTTAAGATTTATTGTTAGAGTACGTCTGTGGTTGGAAGAGGGACATTAGGTATACACAGAGGTATTTTGGCTGTTGAGTCGAGTGTGGTGTTTTTAGACTGAGTAGCTTTGAGGAGCAGTTGAAACAATAATGACACTGTGTTTAATCCGTCTCTCTCAGGGGCAGAAAACAGAAGCGGAGAGGTACTTCCTCAAGGCCATCCAACTCGATCCCACAAAAGGCAACTGCTACATGCATTATGGTAAGCACGGATATATGTTTCTCTTCCAGTCTGACTCACACCAGATTTCTTTTTACATTTCAAATATTTGATTTGGAAATTTCACGCATACATGCTGCACTTGTGCACCTTAGCCGGTTGTTTGTACAACAGAGTTGGCTGACCCTTCTGCCATTTCTGTTTTTATTCTTTTTGATTAGTGGAGAGTCACAGGAAGCAGGGTTGATTTCCTTAGATTGTTCACTGATTTGATGGGTGTACAGAACGTGACAATTTTAGCATATGCCTCTTCTCAAGCTTTCCATTAATCAGCAGTATTACCTCCTGGATTTAATTTCTTTCATAGTACCTTTGAGTTTGTAAAAGCATTTAAAGCCTTGTCTTTGTGATCACCAGGTCGCAAGTGACATTTAAGGAAATTGGTTAATGGTGGATTTTTGCATTTTGTTGAGTACTGTGTGTGTAGGTTAATTATCCAGCCAATCAGGATATGGATTGCATTGATCCGAGCACAGAGACGGTGTTATTTCAAGAAATTACTAAACGGTACTAATAATAAAGGAGATATAATATCCATATGGAACATCCATACTTAACACACTGTTTGCTGCTACAGCTACACATGTTTCTTTTCCAACTATTTATTTATGAGTGAAGTATGTATGTGTATATATGTATATATTGTACTATTCTTATTCTTAGTTAGTGTATTGTCTGTCTTGTCTTAATGTTGGTTTAAAATGAAGCACTGTAACAAAAAATAATTTCCCCCAGGGATTAATAAAGTATTCTGATTCTGATTCTGATTCATATAACATCATTTATCTTATTTCTGTTGGCCCAAGTAAAAATATGCAGCAATTAATTTCTATTTCTTGTTCAGATCACAGCTATGGTTTAATTTACAAATATATCTATTCACAGCTAAACACATCAGATCTGCCATATACTGCTGGGTTTTCATTACTTTAGATTGACTATGTTGTTTGTTTTTCAAAATGTTTTTTGTTTCTGAGACCGAGTGTCCTCAGGCCTGAAGAAGACTCTTCAAAAAAGGTCTCAGAGTGCACTAAAAATCATGAATTTAATTTAGCTGTGTTTATTTGATCATTTTCACTTGCCTGCCTTAGGCAGCAATGCTAGTGATGTGTTTTTTTCCTATGTATTAAAAAAGGCATACACTATCCTGCTACAAATGGAGTTTCAGTCAGCATTATTAGAAGTGTACTGCCTCATTTGGGGCTTTTGAATTTTAGTTTAAAAAAACATGTAATAAGTAAAGAAGTTAGCTGATTATTGCTTTCATCCATCTATTCTGCTGGTTACTAAGGTAAATTAATTACTTCCATTGAAGAATTGAGTCATATATGCCTGGGAATAGTATTAATAGGTGATACTTTTATGTTTAGACTTGCATTCCCAACTACTTAGTAAATTAAAGGGTCAAGTAAATTAATTACGCATACATTTATTTATTTCTTGTCCAGCCTAATTGTCACATGAAAACCTCGCGTGGCGTTCCCCAGGGGTCAGGTCTTGGTCCCATTTAATTCTCTTTCTATACACTGTGTAAGATAATCTGTAAATAATATAGTGTTAATGTTAGTTTTAACTGTTAGGATACTCAACATAAATAACATACGTTTTTTTACTTAGCCCGAGTTCTTTTTCTTCAGCTGTCCAAATCTGAAGTGTTGCTCGAAGGAAAGAAAAAAACCCAAAACGTAGAAATCTGTCCTCCAGCATTAGCTAGCCCGCTCACAATCTGGGTATGAGCTTAAACTGACAAAGTCGTACAGCCGTACTTTCTCCAATTAAGAAATGATGCAAAAGATAAAAATTATTATATTTTAAGTAAAAGCATATTATTTTTGCTGTTGTGTATCAAAGTCGGGTCCGTTTTATTAGTTGATGTGTTTGTCTCTGTGTTTGTCTCTGACAGATTTGATTTCATTTATCAAAAACAGTGCAAAACTGCAGATCTGGAGGTTTTTAGTGCACAGTTGCAGCCTAAAAACTCACTTAAAATACAGCTCTTGCCTTGTCCTGCACTAAAGGCTCCAGTTTCATCCACAGTTATTAAAAAAATGCGCTTGGGTTCACTTGGTGGTTTAGCATCCTGGCACAGCATTGGAGCTTACCAAAATCAACAGTGTATTAATTCCCCCTAAACCTGGCTCTTACCGAGGGGTCCGCCCCGCACTCGGCCTTGTCAGGCTTCAATAATCCCCTCTCATTAGGCTGGTCCACAGAGGTTAACTGCAAGGAAGGCGCACCCGTAATAAGACATAACCCTCCTGCTGAAAACATTTTTATCCAAAGGGAACAGATCTATCAAGGCTGATAATCTGAACAAATGAGTCTGAAAGATGGCCAAGGAGAGATGTTATGCTGCACTTATATTTAATGTTTCATCATATTGTCACAAGTGCAGACTAGTTTGTCCCTCTGCCCAGGCCAAAAGAAACACTGCGAGGCCGTGTATCCCTACGTGCCCCTGTGGGGATCCCAAAGTGTTTTAATAATGGTGCTGTTCCCTTCTGCCCTGCCAGGTCAGTTTTTGTTGGAAGAGTCACGGCTGCTTGAAGCAGCAGAGATGGCAAAGACAGCTGCACGCCTTGACAGTGGGGAATTTGATGTGGTCTTCAATGCAGCCCACATGCTCAGGTATGTTTTTGATTGGCGTGATTTTTTCTCTTTCTTCAGGTTTGATGATTTCCTTAGTGCAAGAGCATGCATAAAGACACTGGATGTATTTTATTCTGCCTAGATGAGATGGGTGGGCCACAGTTTTCTGTGGCTGAGTAGAAAGAAAGCTGTGTATGAGAGAGGGAGGTCTACTGTCTGCACGTTTTATCCAGGGGCTTACACCATTCCTCAGCCTCTGTGATTTACTTGGCTATACTTTGTAATCCTCTTCTCTTGCTGCAGTGCCAGCTCTAGAACTCCTGGTTTATCTTAGTGCGTAGTGTAGCTATATATCTCAGAGGGCTGTCTCTCAAATTACATATACCACTCTGTCTCAGTCTTCCATCACTGGCCAGTGCTCATATTTGAACGCATAATTACAAATTAGTGCAAAGTTCAGCTGTTGAGGCTAAGCAGGAAAGCCCACAAACTGTTGTTTGTGAATGAGAGCCATGTGTGGGATTGTATAAATACAGCTATGTGCCAACTTACTGAATGCTTCCCCCCTCCCCCTGAATAAACCTCCAACTTTATATTAGCCAGTGTAGCGATTTCCTTTTTTAATTAGTCACTGTGGGCAACTCTCTGCATATTTGTCAAAACTATGACTGCCAGCTGTAAAGAAAGATAACTCGTGGACAAGTGTTTCGCTGGACTCACCAGAGATCTGCAAAGTTACTGTGCTTAAGAGTACATCAGTGCACTCCCACTCAGCTTTGTTCAGCGTACCTCTGCTGATCGTGTAGTATCTTCACCATCAACGGCTTCAGGCGTAGAGAGCCTCTCCTAGAGTCCAGACTCCTGGCAGCTAAGTGAGCATCAAGCAGCGCTCGGGTTGAACTCATCTCCGCCTGCTTGGCATGGGGTCTCACTCCCTCCACAGCTCGTGTTCTTTATGTGTTTGTCTTGGACGTAGATGTGGAAAGCCCATCGGTTGGTGGGGACACAAGTGAATCTGCACAGGAGAGGGGAAGAGATTAAAAGGGGGAGCAGTAGCTCTCAAATTTGCAAATGTCGTTTATTACCCCTTTGGGCTTTTGGTTTTGACTATTTTGCTTTCAAACTAATAATTTTCATCTGCTTCGTTTTAAGAGTTCTTTTATTTTTTTCACTACGAATGTAGGACAGGAAAAGTTGGGCAATAGTAAGGCCAAGAGGTACATGCTTGTACTTCCCATGAGTATGTCAAATGCCAGTGAAAGTGAAAAATTACACTGTGAAGTCGTAGAGTAAAGTACAATCTGTAGATTTCCAAAGGCAGCCCTGGGAAAAGCAAACATTATAAAACACACAAGCACTTTATCCACACGCAGTTTACTTCATACCATAACCCCTTAGTACTGTACGCTGCTATCGTGCCATAATCTTAAACCGACTATGAGACCAAATGTAAATTTTGTGAAATATTTGATGACTGCAACTAAGTGTTGAAATTGCAGCCCAATGTCAGGCTTACAAGCAGAATTTGTCTTTGTTGTGATCTCCTTTTTTTGGGTGGCATTATTAGACAACAAGATCACTGGTTTTTAATTATGGACAAGAATTTTTTATTATTTTTTTATTTCATTAATGCCTGTTTTTGTCATCAGCCTCTCTCGCAGTTCCTGTGCTGGTATAGCCTTACAATAGCTCCTATTCCAATGGTTGGCCTTCACTGTCTACAGTGCTCTCACAACCCACAGTCAGACGGCTCTAGGAGGTCCTGTAGCTCTGCTGGTTACAGTGTGGCAGCTTTCCAGTTCTCCTCTCTTAATGTGTTTATAAATGTGATAATGATATTATGGAATTAGATTTGTGCATTTTTCATCTCTGAAGGATCTGCTTTCTAAATATTATGCTGGCAAACAAACATATGGTTGTGGTTGGATGTGAAAGCCACATTTATAATCTCAGGACAAATTCAGCAACTCGAGTTGGTGTTTGGATCCCTGTTGGAATGTAAAATGCTTCTTTCTGAAACAAAAAAGAGAGAAACCCAGCCATAGCGTATTCTTCTGTATATCTGAATATGTAAGCAAACACAACGTATAACTTATTTAAGATCCATTTACAACACTTTGGCAATGTCAGTTGACCCACTGTGGTCACAGACTTGAATATATCAACAACTACCATAAAGTTTTGTACAAACAGTCTTGAGAGGAAGAACGACGACTGACTGGGGGGATTTTTTTTTCTATAGCACCACAATGATCTTCTTATTCACGGCGTAAGCTGAAGTGAACTGGAATGGACTGACACCAAATGATCACTAAACGTGGACACCCGTCAGAACATTAGCATTTAGCTAACACCAGTATGTGGCTAACGTTAGCCTCAGAGAGCTACAAGTTATTTGCATCGCATTGTTTTTCTGGAGGCTCTTTTCCTGCTATATAAAATATAAGGTATAGGTATTTTTTTCTAACTCTGAATTATAAATCATCTCCTTCATCTGTTAAAATTAAAGGATTAAGATTTCACAAAACCAAACATAGATGTATACGCAGGTCCAGACTTTTCTCTGGAACTACGCAGATGACGATCTCATAATAAAGCACGACAGCCTAAATGAAAGCATGGCTATAAAAGCTTCGCTTCCTTTGATCATTCTGATTTAAGGGGCTCCACAGCCGGCCGCTGTTGACTCCGTCCTTGACTATGTCAGTGTTAAATTGTTTTTAATTGGGCAATTGTTACCATAAGGGCACAGCCTGAAGCTGTGTGTCATAAAGGTGATTTCTGATATGCCAGAAAGTTAACAACAGGAAGTGTTTTGTGACCGAGGAGCCACCGGTTTATGTGCAGTAGTACAGTGGGTTATGAAAGAAGATGATGCAGCCGTGTTGTAACTGTAGTTTTCGTGTCAGGAACAGTGTGTTTCTGGTTCCAGGGACTCATGCCGACAAGCCATCTGCTCAAAAATCCTTTTTGTCACAATTTGGCATATGCAGCATATTTTGGAGCATTCAGTTTGTACGCTCTGCTGTTCTGTTTTGGTTTTGGGGTTTTTATTGATGGTATGATTACGTTTCTGTTTTAATGGTGTTTGCACAGTTTAACTATCTCAATATCTATCAAGTGTTGCAACCCACATTTTTCCAGACTAAATGTAAACAGATATGTACAGTGAATATTCCAGATGAGCCTCGGTTTCTTGGTATGCAATGAACTAGATGTCCTGACCTCAAGGTTCAATTAGAACAGAAAGTGCTTGCAGTGCACTGCTCAGCACAGATGTTATCGAAAGATGCTATCGAACGAGAAGCCTACGGGCGATTGGATTGGCTTTTCTCATCCCTCATGCTGTTCCTCTGCGTTACTTTCTCACTGACCCTCGAGCGCTAGTAAACACGAGGGGTTCAAGGCCTCATCCGAAGCCAGCAGCAATAAAAATGAGTAATGACCGCCTCTCTGTTTTCCTTTTGCAGACAAGCCAGCCTAAATGAGGCAGCCGAGAAGTATTACGGACAAGCAGCGAGCCTGAGACCCAACGTGAGTAAAACCACAGCTAGCTAATCTTCCCCCGTTACTATTTACTCTGATGGACAATGCGCAATCGCAGTCTGGGTGGCTTTCCAGTATTATTACTCTCTGATCTGCTTTTGCACAACACCATGCATTGTCAATGGAGCTCAGACAGATGAATGCTAGGTTTTTACTATGCCCAGAGATTTGCTTGTCCAACATCCATCACCAACTTCAAAGGAGAGGCCAGAGTAAGCAGAATGAAAAGAATAATGATAATAACACTGAGTCAGGGGACTGTGACGTCTTGAAAATGAATGGGATCCAGTCTTTGAGAGCTCTGACAGGGAGGGTCAAGTTGTTTAAGTGAGGGTCACAGAAGGAGCAAAGTATGTTTGGCATGTGGTCACCCTGTTTATTCCTGCGTCTTGATTAAAAGAAATCAGTTTGGGATTAATGATCAACTATATCTGAACAATGATATACAGACAAAGCAAAGTCTAGTGTTAGGACCACATAAACCCTGGGATAACACAAACAAATACTGACAAATGGAGCAACCAAAACTTGAGTATAACAGAGGAATTCGATGTTTTTTCCATACATGACGAAATTCAAAGAGCGTAACTGTTCAGATCCCTGACCGTTCCCACTGATACTTTTTCTGATGTCTAAATAATTACTGTTAACTGCCTCCACCCAAAATGCACAGCCAGCGTTGATTAGATGTTTATAGGCCGCTTATTGTGCTCCACATTGCCGACAATAGACTGAGGTAGAGCTGCTGTGTTTTCCGTGTGCCCAGCTAAGTGAGGAACGAGATGTGAAATACTGTTCTTTGAATAACAATAATAATTATACATTTTATAGCTTTTAATGAATCCCGTCGGTATTGTACATCAAATATTGCAGTTTTGATATATGACAGGATGATTTATGAGCATGTTTAAAGCATAACTGGGTTCTGAAAGGTTTAAAGAGTACAAACTCATTATCGATAACACATCGATTTTGTGGAGTCTCACATCAGGTTCTTGTCATTAATCCATAACAGACTCTTGCATACATAACTACAGCCAGTTTGGAGTTAACAAGTTGGCTTCAAACTGTTTGGAGAGTGTATGAAATACACACAACACCATTTCTGTGTCAGTGTTGTTCAGTTCGTCTGTAAATTAAAGTCTCGAGATGTTTGTGTACTCCGTAGTCCTCGTCCACATGCAGATGTTTTGCCCCTGTCGGGTCCACTTTTTGGGAAACCTTTTGTTATTTGTGTTGCTTTACAGCTGAGGTATTATTATAATTTAGCATCTTCATCCATCTTCCTTACCTGTATCCTTTGTTCTTTCCAATGTGATTTGACTTAAGCCACGTACGCTGTCTATCTTCATTTGTCATTTCATGCTTTACTGCGACTTGACTCTTTGCTCTCCAAAGGCCCTGGTGTTTTATATTAGGCACATGTCTGCTTGCTTTCAGGGAGAGAGGACACTTCCTTCCATTCAAAGGATTTAACAGTCCTACAGTTCCCTCAATCTAGATAAACTAAATCGGGTTGGATGCTTGCTTAGCATCAGTTGCTCTCTATAACCTATGACATCTGCCCTTTCAAAGTTTCCAACTTTATATGGATAGTCTTTGCTTAAATGGCTATTTAAAGTCATTGCAGCCAGGTCATTCAACACCTGGTTTTACACTGAACATTCACAACCTCTATAGCATATGTTGCTGTACAGTCTAGGCTAATATGCTCTGCATCTGGACATGCCTCTGCTCCTGCATGCCTATTTCAGCGAGGGTGGGGAGGCAGAGAGGTTACAGAGCAGCAGGAAATGAGAAAAAAATAAAAGCTTTTGACAAGCCAGTGTTCTGCAGTGTGTTGCAAGGGCTAGGAAGAATGCAGAAACGGGGGTATAAATCACAAACGGATTAGATATATGAAGAAGGGGGAGAAGCAAAGGCTTTTAGTAGTCTTTGAGTCTGCAGGGTAGACTTAGGAGGGAAACAAAATTCAAGGATTGCTAAGTTGTGCATGGGTGAAAAGAGCAATCTTTGAAGCTATGCTGCAGCTGTGCTAAGAAGAAAACCAGCACTCTGTGGATTTTCTACCCAGGAGTCACTGCACAGTGTTTCACGTGTTACACTACTCATCAGCAAGTGTCCTGGGGAGCGGTAAAAAGTGTGAATACAAGCTTTGTTAGCTTTCTGGAAAACATTTACTTCTATTCTCCAGGATCCATCCATTCAAACCCTGACTTTGACTGGACAGAGTTTGTTTGTTAAAGTCTTACTGCCCACCTGCTTTAGTGGACTCACACATGTATTAGAGACTGGGGCAATGACATTTTTTGTTTTTTGTTAACACACAATACATCAATACATTGTGGCTCCGTTTATGTGTCGTCACTGTCACTGTCAACTGTGTCCATCTGTATAAGAAAAAATACTTTGGCTCACAATTTTCTGACTTTTAAAATGCACCAACTTGTAAACTGAAGCCTGGCGGTTATTCTATGATTTAAACATCCAATGATGGGTCAAAAAGAAGGTAATTTAGAGTGCCTCACTCCCCCAGCCATTAAATTCAAGAACCCTGGCTGCTAGCAGAACAAATTTAGTTTTGCCAGGATGCTTTAAATTAAAAGAAAGATCCTATCCAACGAGCTACAGTAGAGGTCTTGGTCGTGTCAGTCCTTCCTTTGGGCCATGCATGTGTTCTATGTTTTACATTTTATGTATGTCTTTTATCCTGTCTTCCTTCTCTCACCCCAACCAATCACAGCAGATGGCCCCGCCCCTCCCTGAGCCTGGTTCTGCCGGAGGTTTCTTCCTGTTAAAAGGTTTTTCCTTCCCACTGTCGCCAAAGTGCTGCTCATAGAGGGTCATATGATTGTTGGGTTTTTCTCTGTATCTATGAAGCGCCTTGAGGCTACTTGTTGTGATTTGGCGCTATATAAATAAAATTGAATTGAATTGAATTGAATGTGTTTACAGCAGAAAATGGTTTTCTCTCAAAGGGACAGTGGTATAGTTGGGCTATACTGGTTGAATTCTGCCAAAGAGAAAAGCACTCTCCTTCTCATTAAAATGGAGATCATGCATGGAGCATCACTCATCCTACTCTGGCACTGGAAAAACTGTGAAATGTTTTGTAAGCGAACAGTCCAGCAAACGGCATCGTTCACACAATTCCTCGTAGTTGGGAATATATGAGACAAAGGCTAACACTCTTAGGAGAGCTTCTGTGCTTAAAAGTGTGACACTTAAACTCCAGATTCACATTAATATAAGAATCTAAACTGTCCAGTTATTCATCTGGGGTTGTTTATTTGGAGAGTTACTTAAATGTTGATATAGATTCAGAGTGTCATCTATTCACTTTTCATCTATTATGATTTCTCCGTTCGCTCTTTCAACAAGAGAAATACTTTGGGTTACCTAATGGACCAAAAGAAATTGTTCACCTCTTTAAATATCATAATCATGCATGTTTTAAGTCAGACGTGCATGTGATGATCGTTACAGTAAAAAAGTCTTTCTTTTTTTTTTTTTTTAACATCCTCGTATCCTAGGAATTACAATTATAGAAATCACAATAGTCCGAAGCAGTAGCCTCACTACATGATTAGACATGTTTTTCACATTTCAAACTGAAATAGTGATCAGATGTGGCCCTTCCCTAGCCCTGGATATCCTCCTGACATGATTGCACCCCAGACACATTTCCTGTAGTTTGGTCCTCATGACTCACTCATTGCACCGCTGATGATTTTGCCCCTCGGCACTAACGGGAATAAACAGTATATTCATCTCAACCCACTTCAAAGTCGCGGTCGCTCCTTCTGACATCTACGGCCACAGACAAGACACAGAGACACGCAAAGCAGCATGGTTACCAAACTCCAAACAGGGTCTGGGTGATCAGACGAACAGAAACCACTGTGTTAAAAAATTACTTTCTTTATTTAAGCCTCACCTCTGGCATTTTCTCTTGCTTTTGTCTTAAGAGACAAGTTACTGTTACTCATTTTTTCCATTTCCATTAAATTATGTACATCCCAAAGTGTGAACAGATGGACTTTATGTGCATTATTTATCAGCCCGTGGATGTAGTAAAATTTGAATTTTTTATTAAAACATGTCTCTAGTTAAAACACTGTCCTTATGTGGATGTTAGCTCCCGTTTGCTATGTCCCAGGCAGCTGTGTTTGTACCAACTACACTAGTTTATAAACTGTTGCATTGTCTTTTGAGCTTAATCTCTGAATCCAATTGGTCTTACCCTAAAATAACTAAGATCGCTCTCTTTTTTCTTCTTAAATTTCAGTACCCTGCAGCTTTGATGAATCTTGGGGCAATCCTCCACCTCAATGGGAAGCTGCAAGAAGCTGAAGCCAATTACCTCCGAGCACTTCAACTAAAACCAGATGATGCCATCACCCAGTCCAATTTGCGTAAGCTGTGGAACATCATGGAGAAACAGGGCTTGAGGACCACGAGCCCCTGAGCTCAAGAGATCCCGCCTACTCGCCATCTGCACACCAGACCCGGGAAAAGGACAGCCTACACGCTCCTCATTTGCTCCTGTCATCCAGAAAAGATGGAAGAGACTCAGGGAGAACGTTTGCTCAAAGAGGCCGTGACTGTACCACACAGCTCTCCTAGTGACTCCTGAGCTTCGCATACACCTCAGACCAGCAGCTTTCCTCACAATCATTGCTCACAGTTTGGCAGACGTTATGTGGTATTTGGACTTTTAAGTACTATTTTCAAAATTAATGCTTTTTTTCCTTTATAACTAAAGCACTTGAAGTAAGACCAGGTACATCCTTTAACATTTGAGATGAGTTATACTTAAACTAAGCAATTCTGCTGAAAGGTTTCTCAAAAAGAATTGTTGAACTGGGTAAAATTTAATATTAGAGATAAAAGAGAGGAAAGGATCTCATAACGCTGCACTGGGGGGGAGCGGGTAGTTTCCAACACCATTAAATGAAGTTCTTGGTTTGACCAGATACTCCACTTTGATCATGAAGACAGTATATGAAGAACTAACAACATTCAAAATCACAACTTAAATTTATATCTCAACTCTCCAGCTTGTGTACTGATTCATAGTCTCGGTGATGAAATTTGTTCATTAGAATATACACACTTTGCTATTATTGCAAACCATTTGTAGCACTCTCCTAATATTCGGTGACAACTTGAAAAAGGGAATTGAATTTGTTAGCCATTGCAGCACAACGGTAGCCTCTGCAAATGTTCCTCTTTGCAAAACCCAGCATATTTTGGCAGTTAAGCTCAAAAAGTGAAGAAAAATTTCGCATTGTAATGACTTAAAAGGTGTAATATCTTTTTCATGAGTGTAGCAGGAAGTGTTTTTATCATTACTGATCTTCTCTGCATTGGTTAAGAAGTCACCATGGCAGTTAAGAAACTATACATAGAAATGTTAAGCTACCTTCCTGTGGAAGTAACAGACAAAAAATAGGTAGGTACTGTAGATTCAGGTACACCGCCTTGCTACATGCCCGAAGCTTTTATAGAAGAGTGTGTAAGGACCTTAAGCAGATGAAGGAGTTCTTCTAACCAAATACAAAAACTATGCTGATGCACACCTTTTAACCACAGAACAGTGCACAGTCATGGTGCATTTGAGGGAAATATTTTAATGCCTTTATGTTGATATAAGTAAGTTTAGTGTGTGTGTGTGTGTGTGTGTGTGTGTGTGTGTGTGTGTGTGTGTGTGTGTGTGTGTGTGTGTGTGTGTATAAATTAATTCTAATATATACCTACATAGTGTATAGTATCAAAAAAATCATCGAAAGCAGCAAAAAAGTAGCCAGACACGAATTTGACTGCGTTACTGAGCAAGTTTGGCTTTTTACATTATTACAGTATTTCTCACATTGTCAGTCTTTCGGTCTTATTTGTACATATTCTGTGTAATTTGTTTGTTTGTTTTATTGTCAGCAAGTGAAACAGCACCTTCCCAGAGGTATCAGCATGTACCATATTTAGAATAATTTGTTTGTTATTGGTTCATAAACCTCTCAGCTATCCGTGTCCTTTGTTTATTTCATTTTAAGTTATTGCTCTGTGTTAACTAGCAGCAGAACCAGCTGGTACTGTGTTTTTAGATGTAAAACGAAGGAAACGACAGCTGTTATGTTTACTCCTGTGGTCATTATGGAGTAAATACCCAGTTATGTGGCCCGTGGTGGGTAAATACAGAGCAGCGTCTACAACGAATGGTAACGTTTTTTGAGTTTATGTCATTTGTTACAGTCATAATGCTATAACACCGTTCTGTTTTTAACTATGATGAAGATTCACAGTTCACATTAATTCCTAGCACCGTATGTCACACACATCAGACATATCGTGTAATTATCACATGTATATATAAAGTGTTTATGAAGAAACACTGTCAGCTTGTTTTAATGAAGGTGTTTGAGAAAAAAAAATGTTTCACTCTGTGTCTCTGCTCAGGGATCTCAAGCGGTGGGCTATTGCAGAAACTTGTTCACGGAGCGTTTACTAAATTAAAATTTATTTTTGAAAGTTGTTGTATTTGTATAAATTATCGAGCTTTGTAGCCCCATTTTTTCTCCTTTTTGTATTATAAAATGAACAATGTGCCAGAGTAGACCTTTCTTCCCAGTGGTGTTTCTCTTTTTGGTTGTTTGTCTGCTTATTTGTTTGTTTGTTTTTCCACAATAAATTGATGGTGTTCTGCTTTGACGAGTGCCTGTGCAGCCATTATTGCTGATAGTGTAGGTCACAGATTGATATTAAGGTTTTGCCAGTCACACTTTGGAGGAACAGCTCAAGTTTTACATCAAATTTCCGTTGTATTAAGCGTTAATGGGGTGATCTTCCATGCTGTGGAACAGCTTTTACGGGGTATATAAAGTTGCCCCCTGTAAATTTGCTAAAATGTGTCATAAAATCAACTCAAATGAATTTCCTCTGCTTTGATCTTTGTACAACAAAGGAGACATGTAAATATTGCCATATGGAAGGGGTAGCAGTGTGGAGCCACATATGGTCGGTGTGTTTCGATTCCACCCGTCCCACAATTCAGACCCCGTTGACAAGTAAAGGGCCTTTCCCTGTGAACGAAGCGGTCTGCCTTGTGATGTTTCTCACATGTTCTGCTTGGAAGGTCTGCGTCCATGAACCGAGCTCACCATGGTGCCCAGATTTCCTTATCGAGCTGGAATGCATGGGCGCTGCTTGCACTGTCCAGTCCAGTTTGGCTCTTCTTCTCATAACACAGGTGCGCTTCACTTAATCTCTGCATCAAATAGCAAAAGTTGACAGTTTGTTGGGTTGTGGAGTCACGCCGCAAATGCAACGTAGTTTTATTTATTGCTATATGAAACAGTAGGCATTTGACTGTCTTCCCATAGCTTGCTAACTGTGAAATTACACGTCAGTTCACATAGTTACCATTCCCTAAAATAGGGAATGTCATGTTTCCAGTAGAGTCTGCAACCAGATAAGTAGATTTTTATGCAGTTAAAACAAGGCAAACATGAACTTCTGCTCATAGCACTGGTAATAAGGAAAGGGAATAATAATTAAAAAAAAGGGAGGCATGGTGGCGCGGTGATTAGCACTGTCGCCTCACACCTGGCCGGGTGTGTACAGGTTCTCTGCGTGGGTTCTCTCCGAGACGTGCACTTAGTGTGGTTAGGTTAATTGGTAATTCTATATTGTCCATAGGTGTGAATGTGGGTCTGTCTCTACGTTTTAGCCCTGTGACAGACTGGCGACCTGTCCAGGGTGTAGCTGTGGTAGCTGGGAAAGGCTCCACCCCCCACGATCCTGACAAGGATAAGCAGATGGAAAGAAGGGAAATGGACAGATTATGACAAGGCACTGAATTTTCAGGAGGTTTGAACAAGTAAATAATGTTTAATAATTGTTTAAATCTGCTTATTAATTATTTCATCCCATTTTTTTAGTCATAGTTGTTTTTGTCTCAAAATACTTAAGAGTAAACATGCACATGTAGGAAAGATGTAAAAGTCTAGAGTTAAAGCAGGTTAACACATGTTCACTGCAGTAATGCACCTGAATCCAGGTTGTGCACCTGCACTGTACAATACTCTCCTTGCTTGTCTGTTAGTGTTGCCAAAACACTTAAGCTAGTGTTCCTAAAATGAGGTAAGAAGACACACAGTGAGCACATAACTTTGGATTTCTGTGTCACTGGCCTTTAAGCAAACAGTAGTGTTTCTGGGTTCTCGTCTGCCTTTAAAGCTCTCAACACGTGGGTGTTTATGCAAGCACATAATACTGCGAGTTCTCATTAGTACTTCGCAGCTTGGATGACTGTGGTACCAACAAGGCCAAATCACTGACAATGTCATTATGCGGTGCAGAAACCCTGCAAATTGATTTCAATGAAGAGTTTTAGACTGATATAAAGTGACATGGCCGTACCATAAATTATACAGAACTGATTTATATTTCATGCTAAAAGCGACATTTCTTTAACAATGTATGTCAGAATTGCTTTTATATTTAATTAGATGTAAAAATGGTTTCCCTGCTTCTTTTATACGCTCCACATTTCTCTCATTGTAAGAGATAAAGGATTGTCTGAAGCCAGGCCCCAAGGAAATCAGAGTCATATGACTTCTGCTCTTATGACTTTAGTGCGCTTCATTGCTTCATATGACCTCTTGCACTCTCCAACTGTTAAAACTGGGAGAAAGGAATTCATTTTATTATGCTGTGATCAGGCAAATCTGCCTGCTGTTATCAAGCAAACATTTCGTGGTATGTACCGATGGACTATCGCTACTTTGATCTCAAGCACCTGAGCCAGGCGCTCACAGCACCCGACCAAGCTTGTTTGGAGTGGTTCACTGTGCGTGATGCAGAGAAGTCTTCCCCTCTGGACCCAATACCCACTGTTATTATTTGATAGAAGAGGCATTAGGATGAAGCTCCTCCATGAGATCTAGATTTTGCCTCATATTATTGAAGCGTTTTGATGTCCAGAAAGGAAATTGTCTTTCTTTGGCATTTTACAGCACATGTTGTACTGCAGCTGTTTATACAGGAGCTACTGTTCCTAAATGCAAAGAGGTAAAATGAGATATGGTAAAGTATGCAGATTCCTTTTAAAAACTTCTTTACCTGAGTTTTTATAATTTGTAGAACAAAAAGAGTTAATAAAGGCTAATTGGCACTAAAACCACCATTTTTCTGGTTTTTGCATTCTGCTGATATATTGATTACAGCATATGCACAGCCATACAGAGAACCCAGCATGTCTGTAGACTCTGTCGGCTGTAGTTTTATTTACCGTATTTTTCAGACCATAAGGTGAAATAATAAGGCGCATTAAGCGAAACAAAACGGTCAGATAAGTCAAACTTTACTCAACTCATTCTTCTTGCTTCCTCCACTTCCGTACCATTGATTCGTTAATGCTGAATTCTCAGTCAGCTGCACTATTCCCATGTTGTTGCAGTATATGAATGATTAACCTTGTATTGTGGATGGATTATCTCAGTTGTTCTCCTGACTGAAGTTTGGTCCGTTTACAGCATCCTGCCATGCAATTACATTTGTCCCTAACCATCGGGAACCCTCACGTTAACTTTTATCGAGTGGAACAAAGTTGGCGTTCATCCTCCAACTTTTCTGTGTTTATGCTATGCTAACATAGCTGTGTTGCTAGCAGTCACGTAGCACATCATTATATACCAGCTAGCTCAACTTCAGTAACCTTACAAACGTCACTGCTGTTTAGTTTTCTGTCTTCATTTATGTTGGAAGTGATAGCAGAGCTGTACGTTTTAATTTTTCAGAAATCTCTGAGTCAGAACATGCTATATCATGTTTAGGTGGAAACTAGCGAGCTAACTTCCTGCTAACTTCTAACTCTGTTAAATTTAATAAATTCTGTTTTCATGGATGCCTGGATGTTAAACTTAATTGTTACACCTGGTAAAGCAGCAACGCTGATCATTTTATTAAAGATGAAAGAATTTAGACAGTTTTTCACTCTCAGTGATGCTGCAGTGTAGTGATGTGTCGGTCGCGAACGAAATGGCTCTTAGATGTGTACGACGCGAGTCGGCTCCTTATCGCCAGCTGCGTTTTTTTTTTCTTTCTCTCAACAGAGCGGGAGGGAGAGAGAGAGAAAGAGAGCCAGGGACAACAACATCACATTAGTACGGAGCCCCCCAGGGGACATGGGAGAAAAAAAAATTAGGGAGGGGAGAAAAAAAAATTAGG